GGCTCTGGTCCCGAGCAAGACACCAGTCATTAATTGCCAAAGAGAGCAGTTGATGGACGGAGCGATTTGGGCGGAACCCAAATTGGTGATCATGTAGGAATGCAGTCGAGTCCAGGTGACAGAATAGTTGCGACATTACCACGGATTCCAACACTTTGGACAGGATCGACGTCAGCGAAACTGGGCGGTAGCTCGTTGCGTTGTAGACGTCGGTCTGAGCGGATTTTGGGATCGGGGTGATGTTGGCTCGCTTAAAGGCAGAAGGAAACACTCCACTGCTAAGAGACGCGCTGAAGATTTGTGCCAAAGAAGGCGCCAAGGAGGACGCCATGGCCTTGAGGAAACCAGGCAGAAGGCCATCTGGACCCGGTGCCTTGCACGGGATAAGGGAGCGAAGAGCACGCTCTACCTCTGTAGTGCTGACCCGATCGAAAGAGGTCAATGCATCTTCAAGGACCGGTCCAGACGGCAGGTCGTACGTGCTTGTGGGGTCGTGGACTATAGCATGGAAGTAGTCATTCAGGTCAGGTGCGAGAATGGGAGACGACTTTGGTTTACGCTTTGTCACATAGTTGATTGTAGCCCATAAGCGACGCGGAGATTTTCTGTATTCGGCACAAATTCTCTGATAGTGCTGGTTCCGCAGACGACGATAGAGATTGTTACATTGGGTGCGAAGGCGCTGAAAGCTGTTGTAACGCTTGGTGTCTGTGGAACCTCCCTTGCGCCACGTGCGAAAGGCCGCTTTGCGCCTCCGAATTAGTGCTTGTAGCTCTGATGTTTTAGTGATTCTTACTATGTGACGATGTTCCACTGATGATGGTCACACGAAAACGTTCTGGAATTGTTTCATTTTAATTGTTTATACATGGTTATGAGTGAACAATTGATATTTTTCATTGCTATTAATTTTTATGATTTCCCAACAGGCGTTTGTTAACTTTGTTTTGTTGCAGAGGTTTTTGAGCGAGTGATTCGGGATTTGTTAGTTCTCATTATCACCAATTCCATTCATATTCACAAATTGAGGTATTATAAATGGAATATTGTTTTGGAATTCCCCCCCTTGCATTTATTCCGCTTGTGTTCTACATGTGCATACATGTATGGAGGAAATTGTGTGCATACATGTACAATCATGTACATGTACAGGTACATGTACATGTATATCGAGGTTCAGCATAATCAGTTCAGGTCGTATTGTGTACTGATTGTCAACGTGGTTTCATTACATTTGAGAATATTGCATTCATTGTGTTTTCCCGTACAAGAAGCTTACATGTATGTCATGAACTTAAAATATAACTTGGACTTGGAACTTATTTTAAATAATAATGTTCTCCAGGCGAAAACAACACCAATGATACAAACTTACAGAGACTCTCAGTCTCCGATTCCAGTGCGACAAACACATCATGAGCACCAGAATCTGATAGCAGCGTGAGTCAATGTCGCTCATGGATCTGGTATAACCGACATCGATGTGGATCCTCGGTCATTCGCAAAGATCATTTGATTTCCTCCAAACTAGCTATTAAGGGCGGGACATTCCGGGCGTCTGCGCATTGTCTGCGCATTGTATTGTATTTCTTTGAGTTGACCACAGCTTCTACGACCACTTTCCCAGGGACCTCTATGACGATCTGGCAGGAGGTATTCTGGCACGCAGCGGCTGGCGTCTTTAGTCAGTTTAGATGTTTCACGGCCTTGACTACTTGAAGTCGGTCTGCGTCGAGCGCGTGGTTGTGGTTGCCACTGTACGCAGTAATCATATCGCCCTGTTGTTGTTGTTGTTGTTGATTTTTATTTTGCTTCGCAAGGCCAAACGGGCAATGGTGCCCAATTCTATGGAAGCAAATTTCAAAAGGGAGAGAGCTACGGGGAGAGAGAGAGAGAGAGAGAGAGAGAGAGAGGGGGGGGGGGAGGGAGGGAGGGAGATGATAAGCAATTTTGTAGCGTCAACAGAGCGATTTTGCAGTGTCAATAGAGCGATTTTGAAGCGTCAACAGAGGGAACACAAAGAGTTCATAAGCGCACAAGCACGCAGAGCAATTTTGTAGCGTCAACAGAGCGATTTTGCAGTGTCAATAGAGCGATTTTGAAGCGTCAACAGAGGGAACACAAAGAGTTCATAAGCGCACAAGCACGCAGAGAAGAGTAAATGACGTGGTGTGTGGACGGGAAAAGTCAGACAGAGCATTCATTGCAAGGTGTAGGGGATGGAGGCAAGCTTAAATTGCTGGGCAGCCTTGATCTCCCTTACACTCCTTGGGAGAGCGTTCCAGGCCAAGGCTGCCTGAAAGGCCAGGCGAGATCTGCCGGCTTCTGACTGTGCCGAGGGGACAGTGAGGCCCCTGGAAACCTGGTGCCGGGTGGTGCTGCCAGCTGATGGTGAGAATAGGTCCTGGAGGACACTGCTGGCTTTCCCATTGACACAGCGCCACACCAGGACGAGCCGCTTCTGGGCGTAGCACTCCCGAACTCTGTACAGGGACATCCGTTCGAGCAGAGGCTGAGCCGAGGTGTGAGGCGGCAAACCGTATACCGCTCTCGCCGCTCGGTTCTGCAGGACCTGAAGGCGATCAAGCTGCGAAACCTTGAGGGAGGAAGAGAAGGCGTTAGACCCATATAGGAGGTCAGGCATGATGACTGACCTCACATACTGGATGCGACTACTGAGGCTCAGACATCTGCGGGACCGCCACAATGCTCCAATCTTCTGCACAACTTTCTTCGCCATCGCGTCAACATGGGGGTCCCACTTCACAGCGGCGTCAAGGGTCACGCCGAGGTACCTTGCTGTTGGGCTCAGGGGAAGCTCTGTCTGGTTGCAGCGGACAGCGACATGCTGACCCGCATTGCGTTGTGGTACAATTGACAGGACCTGGCTCTTCTTGTCATTTAGTAGCAGATGTCGATGCTTGAGCCAGTCAGCGACGTTGGTGACGGCCCCTGACAGGCAGGCTGATGTGGCTAGCACTGATTTTCTGTGGCAGTGCACTGCAATGTCATCGGCAAATTGCAGAGATGGAGCAGGATGGGCTATGGCAGGGACATCACGGGTGTACATGCTAAACAGGATCGGACCTAGGACCGAGCCCTGAGGTACACCAGATGAGCACTTAGCAGCAACACTGTAGGTGGGGCCAATGCGCACTTGCTGGGTTCGATCGCTTAAGTAGCTGCAGAACCAGCGAAGGGAGGCATTGTCCAGGCCAAGATCGAATAGGTCCCGGACCAGTTGGCTGTGATTGACCTTGTCAAAGGCTTTTGACATGTCGATTAGCCCTCCGGGCTGTCTTCACTCAGCTTTTGCAGGACAGCTCATCTCTCTTCTCAAATCTCCCGCAAACAGTCTCGTTTCTTCCTCGATTGTCTTGCCCGTGCGGAAACCCATCCTCGATGATTCTGGTTTGCCTCACGAAGCTAGGCCAGTAAAATTGTGGATAGCGTCGGCAGTCCGCGACTAAGGTAAAGGATAACGTACCCAGACCTCACACTTTTACAGTGACATCGGTGACAGGGTCAGCGGTGACATTCGCCGAATGTGTTTAGCGCCGAAACACACTCAAGCGGTGAAATCGCACAGTCGCGAATTGCCACACTCTTCCATCCAGTGTCGGGACTCGGAAGCACACATTTCGCGAGTCTGACTACTACTAGTACTAGTAATACTAGTAGTCAGACTCGCGTATCATGTCTGGACCAGACACTGTCACCTTGGACGCGTGGAAGAGTCTTATCTCGCCTCCGGGTTCCACAAGCGTGTTCTGTTTGGTGAGGGTCTGAACTCAAGACCCAGACATGTCCCCAAGAAGGGGTGGAGGAGCGTTGCCCCTGCGGAGTGCCCGGCGCGTCACAGGTGACTGGTGTGACTTGGCGCAGGGCAGGGCAGACACCACTGGCACTGGCGCCTAGAGATCATCATGAGAGAGGAGGGGGGGGGGGAGAGAGAGAGAGAGAGAGAGAGAGAGAGAGAGAGAGAGAGAGAGAGAGAGAGAGAGAGAGAGAGAGAGAGAGAGAGAGAGAGAGAGAGAGAGAGAGAGAGAGAGAGAGTAGAGAGAGAAACAGACCTGCCTCTAGTTTGGCACTCACCTCTTGCTGTTGCTTCTTACTGCTGCTGTGCATTGTATTTTACGTTCCAGAAACGTTAGCCAGGAACACAGTAATAATGTTATCAAGGACTTAGGTCCGCTGTGCCAATGCGGTTCAGCTAGCTAGCTACCTACTGTTTTTTTTGTGATGGATTTTTTTACCTGGACCATTGCTGGTGTGTCACCATATACAGGGTCACTACCGACTACCTAGTCCTTGCCAGACCAGGTCTGTGGTCTACTGTGATCGGTGTGGATCATCGTCCCCCTGAACTGAAGCCCCTGCTCCCCATGATAGGAAGAGTCAGATTAGAAAACGACGACGTCGGTAGGCATAATGCGGATAATGCCGGCAGCAAAATTGGCAGAATTCGGTACTTTTTCTGGTGAGTTTCATGCATGTTTGGTATGTGGATAAAAAATGGAGCAGAATTCGAGGAATTGCCCGCCATAAGGTTTGTATAGTTCTGCCAAATAATATTATTTCACTGCTTTTCGAGCAGAATCTGCCACCTTTTCGAGCATTATCCGCACACCCCTAGATGTCGGACTCGGAGTCGTCGTTCACACAACGACTTGTCATGTGCATGTAAACATAGTCGCTCAAGTCATAATCATTCATGTACAATGTAGTCTGTAAATAATTATTTATCTTTCTGTCGTATGTAGACGATCGTGTTGATGCGTGCAGTGATCAGGTGATCATGGTGATGCACACGGCGTAGATCGATCGGCTCGACGCCGCGGCGCGGACGCAGACAGGCTGGACGTGGGCCGCACTACCACGGACATTCACATCTGCAACGACGTACATGTACATAAAGACTACACTAGACTAGACTAGTAGACAGATCTGCATGCTAGATGATAGAATGACCTGCACTACCCCGGTAGTGCAGCAGACTGTGCATGTGCGCCGCTACATGTAGCGCAATGTTTCTTTTTCTTCACTTCAGTCCAGAGTTCAGTCCTGATTTCTTGCTGCGGGAATCATAATCATGTCGTATTAGATCGGCGTTGTTGTTGCAGCTTTAGCTTAGGTTGTTCTCTTGCTACAGGTCGCCTCACGCAGGCCCTTCCACGGCCGAAGCAGCGGCTGAATGGTTATGTACCAGTTTCAGACTTCCTTGTTGAGACTGGGGCTAGTGTCAACTTCGAGCTAGACTGGTTGGTTATGCGTGTGTGTGCCTGAATGCTTGCTCGGATTTCCGGTGATTCGGCTGCGTGATTTTGTTCTGGCAAGAAGAGTTTCTTCAATTGCGTATCTGAGTATCTTGCTGTTGGAATGGCGTTTGTGGAGAGCATTCGGAAAAGCTTTTCTCGTCATCGGCGGAGGGATGTTGCCCAGTCCGAGGCAGCAGAGGCTAGCGGCGCGGACCAGCGCCCAAGCGCCGACTCAATCACTTGTGTGGTAGCGATGTTGGACGAGTCGGAAGCGTCGTTTGAGATAGAAGTGAGTACTGCTAGCTGGGGTGGCACTACGTATTGTCGTGCATGAGTCGACTCGTAAGATCTTGCTTGGTGTGCATGTAGCGTTCACTGTCTTGTTGCATTTTAGTTGCGAGGAAATAATTATTATTGAGGCGGCGCGTTCCGGAGCTCGGTGAGTGAAAGCAAAAAAATTCATTGATCCTCAGTTTGGCATTTTCCTCTGCATTCTTTCGAAAGTGTCACACTGGAGAGGAATAACTGGCGATGTTACCATTACCATGCTTACAATGTGATGATTGTAGTAACGTGCAGTGGTCACGCAGCCATACCCCCTGAATGTCCAGTGACCGAGTCAGTGAGAGTGGCGGGCTGGCTTAGCTTTCTCTTGCGCCCGCTGGCCGGGGCCGTATGTTGCTCTGAGACTGCGAAGGTAGCTGTCCTAGTCTTGGAAATCAACGAACAAATCTTCACTCAGCTTTCATCCCACTAACAATAGTACACTAGTCTACAGGTCCAGGAAACCGGCTGTGGACGGATGGACTTGGGGGAGGGATTGTGTGCGGTGTCATTGGCGGTATATGTGTTCACGTGTGGGGAATATTATTATTTTAGGAAACTATGCGTACAGGTGTGGCCATCCTCCATACCTTTCTCAAATATCATCAGCTAGAGGTGGTGGTGTCTGGGTGGGACATTTCTATGGACTTCCCCAAGTACAGTTCACTGCAACCGGTTGTTGTTGCATGCTTTGCAAAACTCAGATCTAATATTGTCCATTGTACAAGTCATGAATTATACTTTTGTTCTGCACAAAATATTATGCTGTAATAGAGATACCTGAACCTTGGCATGAATCAAGCCTTTGCAAGAATCCCGAGGGTGATGTGATTCATTCGGGCCACTGATGGGATGGGTTGGGTTGGGTAGGTGAAGTTGCAACTATCAGCGCTACTGTTCAGGGAGAGAGAAAGTGAGCCATGAATTAAAACCTCTGCAGTCTGTATGTCATGAGGCAATGACTTTGTGACTGATAATGGCAATGTCCTCAACCGGCTTGCACATGATGAACTCTGAACATTGAGTAACTTTATCTCGCGATCATGGATGACGAATATCGCCACACCACCACAATCAGCACTATCTGATTGATTTTCATCGTTCCCCAAGTCAAAATAATGCGGCGACATTTGCTATAATCATATCGGTGTTGAAGTCTGCAGTGCAGTTCAACTATTTTTTTTACTTTTTGTCGAAATCCCGGTTAGTACACTCTACACGGGGAGTGAACACGAGGTACGCAAAGGAAAGTACTAGTAAGGGCTGAGTTGTTGCATTTGGTTTCCTTTGTGCACCTTTTGTGTGCTATGCTCGGCTCATCATAGGCATTGAGCAGCCTGGCAGATTAAGGCACACTGCCTCTGGGAATTTTTAGGAAGTCACTGCCATGGCGCACCATGGCATGCATTGCACCAGTATTCGGATTGTTTGGACGGCGGAGTTTTGATCTTATACCTAGCAGTTCATGAAGAAATGAATTAGAAAAATTCTACCAAGCATATACGGCTGCACCAAAGCATCACTCCGGAAGAAACAAGAGGCCTCTGCCACATCCTTCCTCCTCTGGACAGAATCCACTGTGGATCACCTTTGATGATACCATCTATAATGCATGTATCAGTCAACCTCCTAGTCAAAAGAGTCTCAACTAGAAAACAGCGATGCAGAATGACCATCCTAAAGGTGAACATTGCAGAAACGCTGCCGGTGACAGATTGCCTTGCTAGTGTACCGGCAATACGTGTATAGGTTTGTAACTACAAGTACAGTCTACACGCGAGAATTCATGCATTTTTCTAATCCGCATGTTAGGCACTTTTGCTTATGTCTGCACTCGTACATAATTATATAATTATATGTCATGTAAGTCACTCACTCGAGGTAAGTCACGCATGTTTGTTTCCGAAACCGGGTGCATGACTTATCGAGAGTGGACCGTACTGCTTTCCATGTGTGAAAGGCGACATGACAGTACCATTGGCATACATATACATCATGTACTACTGTACAGTACTATTCGACGGGGTGCCGAAGAACTGGGGAGTCCGCCTCAGCCGGCCTAGCCTACGTCACTCTTATTGTCATGTACTACAGTCTATGCACAGTTGAGTCACCGTGTACACATTGGTATGCTGTGCTTGATGAAATCCTAGCCTGTTCATTCTTCGGCACCCGACACTTGTACTGTATGCCATGTGTGTAGTGTTTATTCAGGCTGCTTACAGACTCACACGTTGGTTGTATGTATTCGTTTTGTCTGTTGTGTTTGCTGTGTCCTTGTCTGTTGTGTTTGCTATGTCCTTGCTGTGTCCTTGCTGTGTCCTTGCTGCAGAAATCCTCTACAGTCAATGACCTTCTGAGCGACGTGTCCAACTTCCTCTCGTTGAGAGAGATGGACTACTTTGGGTTCTCGTATGAAGATGACAGTGGCCTTCTGGTGCGTGTGCACATGCGCGAGCACACACACACACACACACACACATACACACACACATGCACACACACACATACACACACACACACATACACACACACACACACACACACACACACACACACACACACACACATACACGCCTTTGACCTTTGACGCCCCATCTCCAGTGGAGATGATAGGCTACTGAGTTGGGCAGTACTTGATACTCACATACACACACACACACACACACACACACACACACACACACACACACACACACACACACACATACACACACTACTACTACTACTACGTACAGCTACCCTATCGGGACACGCCGCTGCCAGAAGCGGGAGACAACGACAAGAAGAGAGAAGAGAAGAGAGAGAAATCGCAAAGTCAACAGTATTTGGCATGGCGTTGCAAGTCCTGTGGCCTTGAGAACCGTCTTTCGCAATGCTCGCATTCATGGCGGCAGTTGTTCCTGGCTGCACGTGACATCCGTTTCGCACGGTCATAGTGATGACGGCTCAAACCAGAACGAGAGCGGAAAGATCGGCGACAAACATCACATCGAAAAGAGTCAGATTCATGGCGAATAGATACAGTAGGGAGATCCGTGGACACAGGACAGCGATGCACAGCCAGTCCTCCAGCGCTCCTCAACCACCGCATGCACTTCATACATTGCCTGGCACCCTTCTGTTGTGACACAGGCAACTTCCGCTGGGCAATGCACTTGTGTCGGGCCATGTCGTTACGGCGGCGGAAGCCTCTGGCACACAGCAAGCAGCGCAAAGGTGGCGAATCATCTGTGTGCGGTGGTGGCTCAGCAAGGAACATCCTCCAGTTTTGCCGGTCTTGGGCATTCTGAAACCAGGAATCCACGCCAGCTGCCTTCATGTCTCACACACACACACACACACACATATACACACACACACACACACATACACACACACACACACGTGCACACGCACACACACATATGCACACACACGTGCACACACACACACATGCACACACACACAGACACACACACACACACATGCACATACCTGGACTGATTCACGCAGCATGTTGCTGTATCAGACCATACCCCATACGCTTCCAACTGACGTGAGCAGATTTGCGTAGAATCTCTCTGCTCTTGCTACGTGTCCATTGCACATTGTGCTGGACCTGTTCTGGTCATTGCTATTGTGCATGCAGTAAGCCATGCTTTGCTACATCTACATGTAGCATATTGTAACCATGATTTCACACAAGTGCTGGATTGTGTGGGTGTGGGTGTGTGGCCGTGATTATTTGTACTCGTGTGTGTGTGTATGTGTGGGTGGGTGGGTGTGAGGGTGTGTATGTGTGTGTGTGGGGGGGGGGGAGTTTGCGGTCAGTTTATCAGCCTTGCAAGCTGTTGAATGGTGTAATCCCAGCACAAGTTGCTATACCTAACATAGCTGTTCGTTATCATCGCTTCCACGATTGGCATGTCTGAGCCTATGTGTGTGTGTGTGTGTGTGTGTGCGTGCGTGCGTGCGTGCGTGTGTGTGTGCTTGCAATGATTTGGGCTGGCCGTTCTGTGTGTTTGCAGTGCTGGCTTCATGACTACAAATCCATTGCCAAGCAAATGCCAGGTAAGAGTGCTGTGCACTGCGCCGCCGGGTGTCATGTTTTCACCTACAGCCACACACAGTATTGGCATCATCATCATCATTAGTAGTCGTGGTCCTCTGTAACATGCTAGGACTGAGTAGTGTGTGATGCAGATATGTTGTCCACAAGTATGATCGACCCCGCTGTCTTTCCAAGGACCTGCATGACCACCATGTTGGTAAGCATAAGCTTATGCATTGAACTATTTGATCCATCATGGCAGTCGGGAGATGCAAAATTACTATGAGTACTAAGTTAAATAACTTTCTTGGAGACAGGAAGCTTATCATGGAAAGAAAAACTAAAAATCTCAAGCTATTCTTCACCATCATCATCAATAGGGACTAAGAACTAAGTTAGTATTCAATTTCAATGCTGTAGCAACTTTGTGCATTTGTACATTTGTCATGTATTTTCATTCCAGGCGCGCCACCTTACAGGTTTACGTTTGGTGTCAGGTTTTACATGTCCAATCCATCACAGTTACGAGAAGATGTCACCAGGTAAGAAATTCTACTAAGAGCCTCACCAAGACTAGTCAATGTTGTAGTACCCATAGCCGATTGTAGCCCCATAGCCGATTGTAGCCCAAGGCAAGCACGATGCACGCATACAGGACAATTAGCCGCCACACTTATCGCATTGGGGTGCCTCAGCAGGTTGATTCACGACAACCCTGTGCTAAATTAAAATATTGTCACCATACCTGTGTATGTATTTGTACTTGTGTGTGTGTGTGTGTGACATTATTTGTCCTTGTGTGTGTGTGTGTGACGTTATTTGTACTTGTTTTTATTTATACTTGTTTGTGCAGATACCAGTTCTGCTTGCAAGTCCGAAGTGACCTGTACAAAGGAAGGTAAGAGTTGATCTACAGTCAAGACAATCTGTACAGTTCAATATCATACACATGCACACGGGAGACAGGCCGTGTGCAAGCTAGATGCTAGATGCTAGTATATGTGCAGTTCTGCCACTGGTACATAGTATACATTACAGGACATACGCAGTGTTCACACTGTTAGTAACCTATGGCTCCGTGCATCAAATGAACGACCGTTTCGTTTTATGTATAGGAACGATTTTTTTCAAGGCCTGATTCCTGCCAAGGGAACCTCCTGCTGAATAAAACTGTGATTTTATCTTGATATGTTTGCCTTGTTTGCACCTTCAGGGTGGCAGCCAAATCTGATGAGATTGCAGAGATTGCAGCGCTGTCTTTGCAATGTAAGTGCAATGCCATGCGTCGAATCAGCCAATAGTATGGGGATGAGACTGGCAAATCATGGCCGTGAATTCTGTTGATTGAGCCAGCGTACAACAGTCTGGATTGCAACTCTGACATCAACTCAGCTGATTGGACCCATTGCTTTCGTAGCATGGATGTTCGACCAGTTTCGCTTGAGTGTGATGTTGAAATAGTTCTTGGCTCAACTTCTCCCATCTAGCATCTGTCTCCCTGGTCGTTTTTGATGAAATCAATTTTAATATTTTGCTCTCGTGTGGCAAGGGAAAACTTGATTCTCGGCACTGTATAATTGTGTTCTCGGCATCTAGGCAAACACCTTCAGTTCTGGGCGGTAAAAACAACCTTACCAAGTATGAACAGTGTACATGTAGTGCCATAACCAAGTGCCGAAAATAGTGTTCATGGTGCTAGCTAGGGCTGTGTAGCACCCAGCGATATATGTTATTCATGACGTCGAATTTCACTGGCCATTAGTTCAATTGCACACTGCTAACATTTATTGGCAGCTGCTTACTACATCCCACCTCATAGTTAGTTTCTGCTACTATAGTACGTGTGTCAGCAGTATTGGAATTATATGAGTTGACCGATCCAGGTCAGTTCCGAATCTGCATCATATTTAAGCTGTCTACAGGGCCAGTATTGAGGTTGCATTTGTTCGGTCATTCCCGAATGGGCATCGAATGATGCCGGTACCCATCGCGGAATAGGAATGAGCGTAGCAAACAAACGCGCTGGCAGGGATTCGAGAATCTGGCAAAAGTTTTGCGCCACTCTGGAAACGTATTACCTGTTGTTTGCACAAATAAATTGCAGCCTTGCGAAGACTATTAATGCCAGTCCTGGTAGTTGCCATATGCTTCCGTAAGTTTCTGCATGTCCCGCCTATGACACTACAGTCATGATGAAGGAGCGGCCAAACACGGCGTAGATCAACGAGCGATCGTAACTAGGGTGCCTGCAGGCGGCGTCTGGCCGCTACTTCATCATGCTATACGACCTCGTATCAGTCACAGAAACGTCTCGAGCTCTCGTGTTTACTTGACAGAGACGAGGCACTGTTGTAAGAAGAAGTGAAGTGGCAGGCTCGGTGCCTCTTTGGGTCACTTTGTTCTGGCTCGCCTCCCTGTGATTCTAGAGGCCCTGCTCGACGACGATGAAGAGCTGAGGTGCGAGGGCATATTTTCAGTTCATCAACGATCCCGGGCGAACATTTCTCAGGCAGCGAAGGGTCAAAATACCACGAACAAGTTACTATGCCGTCCCCGAGGTTACAGTACCTGCCTATACCCTGGACGATGTCCGCCAACATTTCTGTATATCGATAATCGCGTTTGAAGTTTTGTTGGGGAGGTATGCAGCAACGACGAACTTCACGAAGCCCCTCCGCACATTTTCATTCTGCTCGGAATGAGACCTCATTCCACTTTTTCTTAGGAATCGCCAGAATCGATTCTGCCCCCTTCATTCCGCGACCGGAATCGGAATTGCACCGAACAAACGCTGTCCAGTGCATCAAACAAACGCTCCATAATCAAAGCACGGCGGAATGACCTTGGAATGGTGGCGGAATGGTACCTAACAAACGCAACCTAAATTAGTACGGTCTCATTCATCCTCTCAGTGACGCATGCCATGTGTGTGTGTTTTCTCTGTTTTTGTTCTGTGACCATGCAGCTGAGCTTGGTGACTTTGACGGCTCGATTCACGTGGGTGGCTATGAACGGAACTTTGAACTTGTTCCCAACCAGGTAAGACCCTCGCCCTGTTTGCCCTCGTTCTGCTTGCCAGCTGTGGCTCCTTGTTTTACAATGGCGTACTATTCGTGTAAAGAGGCTGCTACTTTTGTGGACATTTTACATCCTTTGAGAGGTCAAGCGGTCTCGGGGCACTGGCCTTGCAGCCCATGGGCACAGCTGGTCCATTTTTGCAGTGTGTACGTGAACTCCAGTGTGTGTACACGTTTGGGCAGTTAGGGTGCCGGCCCCGGGCATTTCACCGAATTTCAATGTCCGCAAAAGTAGAGCTAGTAGAGTGGAGCTACACAAGGACTCAAGGAGCAAGAGTAAGTATTGATCGTATCATCGAAATAGTACCTGCCTCCAGACACACCACGCGCACATGCAGTTCAGACAAGAAATCAAGGCCATGGGTTTTGTATGTGCAGGCTTGTTGGTCTAGGGGTATGATTCTCGCTTTGGGTGCGAGAGGTCCCGGGTTCAAATCCCGGACAAGCCCATTTTTTCTTGTTTTTCTCCATTTTTTCTTTTTTCTTCGTTTGCAGCCAGCAGGAAGTCTTGACAAGTTGAAAACATTATTTTCTGGATAGTGACATGCATTTCTGGGAATCTCCGCAAAACCAGTTTAAGCTGGCATCAAGGAGGGGTAACGACAAGAGACCTAGTACCTACTTGTCTCTCTCGCTCCCCCCCCCCCCCTTCCCGAGGGGGGTTAGGGTTAGGGTTAGGGTTCCCGAGATAGCCAGGTTTTTTTCCTTTTCAAGTTGCTTGCATACAATTCTACACAAGACAGTGCAAGGGGATAATGTTTGATCCTGATGCACATGCTCCAATGTACTCTATGATTGATCCTGCTTCATGCTGATGGCTGCTCTGTTTTCCTGCTCATGACCTCTCTTCGTCCAACCATGTTTCCTCACAGGAGGACCTAAACGTCTATGAGAAAATCGTGGAGCTACACAAGGAGCAAGAGTAAGTATTGATCGTATCATCGTCGTTCCTGCTACACTCAGCAAGAGCCATCAGTCACCGGCGGTCCAGCATAGGTTATGTCTTTGAAGTAAAAATAGTACCTGCCTCCAGACACACCACACGCACATGGCATGCAGTCCAGACAAGAAATCAAGGCCATGTGTTATTTATGTGCAGGCTTGTTGGTCTAGGGGTATGATTCTCGCTTTGGGTGCGAGAGGTCCCGGGTTCAAATCCCGGACAAGCCCATTTTTTCTTGTTTTTCTCCATTTTTTTCTTTTTTCTTCGTTTGCAGCCAGCAGGAAGTCTTGACAAGTTGAAAACATTATTTTCTTGATAGTGACATGCATTTCTGGGAATCTCTGCAAAACCAGTGCAAGCTGGCATCAAGGAGGGGTAACGACAAGAGACCTAGTACCTACTTGTCTCTCTCGCTCCCCCCCCCCCCCTTCCCGAGATTGTGAGCAAGTCACGCGGCAGCATATTAGTATTATCTATCCCGCAGAGCTGCGGCAGCAGAGTTCACATCACATTTATTTATTTATTTATTTCACCTTCCCGTGGCCAGAGAATATAGGCCAATATGGAGGGAGGGGGGCGGTAGCCAGCCATGGCAGTAAACAAAAACAAAGCAAAAATGAATAAATATTACACATTACTGGAGGCAAAGAGAAACAAATGTGGATGAAGAACTAGCAGTTATTAGAACACGAGCTTCATGTTGGCCTTGAAATCCTTTAGCGTACAAGACGATTTTACTGATAGAGGCAGGGCCAGCCAGAGAGAATAGGCAGCAAAAAAACGGAGATCTGGTATAAGCTGAGGTTCGGGCTTTAGGTAAAGTGCAGGGATTGCGCGTAGGACGAGTGGGAAGAAACCAGTTATATTTACGCAAGTGTGGCGGGGCTTTGTCAAGACGAATAGAATGAACAACAATACACAGTTTTCGATCCGCTTGGCTAGAGATAGGGAAGGTGTTAAACATATCATACAGCTCGGCAGAAGGAAAGTATGATGGTTTGCGGAAAAGGACTTTGAGTATCCTCTTATTGTGGACTTCCAGGGTACTCATTAACGATTTACTTAGTAGGGATGACCAGGCGGTTGAGCAATAGAGAAAAATGGGGAGAATATAGCAATGATAAAAAAGGCGAATGCATTCAAGCGGTAGGTGGGAGCAGTGAGACACGAGGTAGCCAACAGCTTTACTGACTTTGCTACAGATATAGTCGACATGTCTACTAAACGATAAGTCTGAGTCAATGACCAAACCAAGATGTTTGTGTTGTTTTACCACTGTGAGGTCTGTGAGGGATCCGGGAAGAGTGAATGCATAGGTTGGCTCTGAGTTCGGCAGGAATAATATCTCAGTCTTGGCGATATTAGGTCTTAGTCTCCAGGTAGTCATCCACTGATGGACTTCGTTGATACCGCGCTGGAGACTGTCTCGTAGCCTGTCTAGACACTCATTGAACCGGAGCAGTGCAGTATCGTCAGCAAATAAGGACACACCTTCAACATGACTGGGAAGATCATTTATATACACTAGGAAAAGGAGGGGCCCTAGGATGGATCCCTGGGGCACTCCGGACAGAACAGGTGAAGCATCTGAGAGAAGTCCACCTACAAAGACAACTTGCGTTCTGTCGGATAGGTAGTCTGTAATCCACTCCAGCGCTGAGTCACACACACCGAAAACTTTGGAAAGTTTAGCAAGTAATGCACGGTGCCACACAGTGTCGAAAGCTTTCTCGAGGTCGAAAAAGCACATGGCAACTTTCCGCCCCATATGACGATGGTCGGCAATGTTTTGGATCAGCTTGGTGAGCTGTAGAGCGGTCGAGTCACCACGACGAAACCCAGATTGCGCGGGATCCAGAGCAGGAGAAACATGATTATATAATTGATTGAAGAAGAGCCGTTCGCAAAGTTTGGAAATACAGGACAGGAGGGAAATTGGGCGCATGACCTGAGTGGTCAGTTATACAGTGCAAGTAGTAAACAGAGGCACCGTAAGATTTTTCTGCTCTTGGCACACATGACAATTGACATGAAAGTCTAACTGTCATTGCAGACCGGCGTCACAGACTGCTGACACTGCTCCACACCCACACCCACACCCACACCCACACTCATGCACATGGACATGTACGAAATCAAGGTTCTGTGCACATGTGCTGGCTTGTTGGTCTAGGGGTATGATTCTCGCTTTGGGTGCGAGAGGTCCCGGGTTCAAATCCCGGACAAGCCCAATTTTTTATAAAATGACAATCCGTTTAATTTTTTCTTTGCATTGTACGAATTATTAGATGCCAGCAGTCT